CGCGTGGACTACAAGTTTGGCCGAAGCGCAAAACCACCGTGGACGCCCCGCGCCGTGCCCGTGAGTGAGGTTTCTGATGAGTTGAGCTTCCGTAGGGGATGTAAAAAATAAAGAATCGATCGAATGGTGTCTAGGGGCTTCTGATGAGCTATTGAGCTTCCTTTTCTCTTTTGGGATGTCAAAAAAAAAACAAGCGATCGACAAAATCTGAGAATCATGTTGCCTAGCTCAAGAAAAGCCAGGGTATAGATCAAGGAATGAAAAATTTTAGGGATAATCTGGGAATCTGTTCGAAAAACCTGGCATCTCTTCTTCTATTGCTGTGAGTCTAATTTCTCCCTTTAACTTCTTTTGAATTTTCTCCAGGTTATCTTTCACTGCAGTCATTTGCCAATCATTTATTAAAATATAATACTGAGATTGTTCGTCTGCAAAAATTAATTGTGGTGGAAATTTGAAGTACTTATTGTTATTAGGGTTCATGTTATATAGGACCCGAGTCGCCGCTACTGACCTCTTGGATGACATATTTGGATCCTCAAATCATCAGAATGATAAAGAATTCATCTTTTATTGACCAGATAATGTAATATCAGGAACATCCTTGGAATTAAAAATTTGAATGTGCGCTGAAAGATTCACGGAAAGATGAAAACAATTTCGACATTCATAACTGGAATTCGGGAGAGTTTAATCATTTTTCCCAATGAAATCGCCCGACGAAGTGCGGGTGAAAACTTCGATTTCTCATCAGAGAACTAGCCTCTGAAAATCAGGGAAAAATCAGGGGATGAGCAAGTGAGCATGGCCAATAATTTCCAGACACCATGCCATGAATCGATCGAATCGGTGTCAATCGGTTCACATTTTTGTTTTTTGCTCGCTTAAGAATGTGTTGATCGAATCGACTCCGGGTTTTTTTCAAATCAATTTTCGATTGAGTCGCCATCGATCGGTTCACGTTCTTATTTTGCGATCGATTCATGTCGATTGAATCCATACCCTAGGGCAAGGAAACTGCTCAGTCAGCCGTTTGTGCCGCAAATGACGGCTCACTGAGCAGTTTCCTTACCCCCTCCACCCCCTCTCCCCGCCGGCCTGAGTTTGAGTTTACTTTATTTTTCTCCAGAGAGAGCGTCTCAATCTCAATCTCTTTCGCTTTATTACTTGCAAGGAGGTTGTCATGTCGTTTGAAAAAATAGGGCAAATTACATCGAAAATCTCTGCAATCGCGTGAGCATAGCGAGTTCGAGCTCATTAGCTGGGCACCGATTTATCTAAATTAAAATAAATTGAGAGAATTAATACTTTTTATGGTATCGGAGGGTGACAAAGTCTGTCGAGTCAGAAACATCCTGGAAAAGTCAAGGAATAAATTTTGATGCGGAACTTCGGGGGAAATTTTTCAGCTGAGACATCCATCTTTTCAATTTCAAGGAACTTCACGCTTAAAATTTTCCGTGATAAATACTTTTCTGAGAAAATCATGTCGGGTGAAAGAAGCATTGAATAGTCAGGGATTTTTTTTCAAAATCCCAGAAAAGACAGGGAAAAATCAGCGAATTTTGAAGACCATTGAAGCTTGTCACTCTGAATAATTTATCCTTATTCTTCCTCCTTTCTCTCTTTTTTTCATGGTAATTACGAGCAGATTTTCATTTTAGATGCTCTTAAAATATCCTCAGTTTTCTGCCTCAGCTGCCAAGATTAATGTCTTGGGGGGAAAAAAATACAAGTTAGTTCGTGTGAGCCAAACGCTCTGTACTCTATACTGATACAACTGTTCGGTTTGTTAGAGCGAAATTTCTGTTCGTAGGAAGGAACATTCAGTTCGCGATACCGAACTCCTCGGTTAAACCGAACTGATAAAAGAATTGCGTTTGCCCGAATCAAACGTTCAATCCTATGAACCGAAATTTCTCGTATGTAGATCGATTGGTTCGATCCATATGGAACACACAACGTTCAGATCATGCAATGGAACTTCTCTTTTTTTTATCAGTGTGCTGCGCACAGTATCTTTTTTATTTTCGAAAATGTTTGCAGTGTGCCAAATCCTTGCTCTGCGGATTGGTTATTTAATCCTGAGATATGACAAGCACAGGTCGTATGACACAATTGCACGAAATCGCAAAATAGTATGACAGTAAAAAGGAAAGGAACCACGCTACACTCCTCGAGAGTAACCGTCTCCTCTAATTATATAGCCAAACAATAAGTACCTATTTCCGAGCGGTTACTTAGTCGATGATATATTCATCAGTCGCTATGTGCACTCATTCTTGTCGGAAGCAGAAAGCACTTATACTAATGAAAAACCAGCGTTTATTCCGAAATTTATTCTTAATACGATCATCGAGACATGTATTTTACCTCCTTTCCGCGTATTTCAAAATGTTATGCACACACGAAAGATTAAAGGCAGACTTATTTTTCTCTTACGCGAGGTAATGCGCGAGTATCATTAAGAATACCTATTTTGACCAAAAAATGTGACACAGCAGGGCAAAATATGCCTTAACCGCCTTAAGGTGGCAATTCACATCGCACCGCACATCGAAAAACACCGACTTACGGTTGGGGTAAAAAACATTTTCGATCTATCGCTTGCTAGTTCAATCACATCCAAAATTTTGCTACATCAGAGCAGAAAAGAGCCAAGTCTCTTCAGCCTTTGCCAAATTTCGTCGATTTTTTTTTTCGTAGCAGAGCGGTTCTATAGGTTCTTTTGAAAATGTTGGAGCATTTGCTTCACATCGCAGTGAGAATTGCCTGTAATTTTCCAAAGAATCCATACCACCATCCTCCTCCTCCCCCCCCCCCCCCCCCCCCNGACCTTTCCGTGACATTTGAGTGGGTTGTTTTAAAGAGGGAACAATAAGTCCATTTTTGCATGAGCCCTGACTTGCATAAAAGGACATCTAACTCAGATTCATCGAGGAATGGACCTGCTCCTTTTTGAAAACAACTGATTCATATATTTAGCAATGGTTGATGTGATTTAGGTTCCTTTCTGCCCAATGCAGTCAAAATTCGATGACACAGGTACCTGATCTCTTTCAATGGCATCAATGAGAATAAGTTGATACAAACCCAACACGTCACTTTTCTGGGACACAGCAGTTCGTGAGAAGCGTTCTGTAAAAAAAAAAATAATGTATGCAAGACGTACCGATCTGTTACAACATTTTTTGATAACGTAACAGACCCTACTCACAATCAGTGACAAAATGAATGAAGCTTCATTTAAATTCTGTAACTCCCATCCTTCAATTTCACTGATAATGAGCGACTCCTATCTCCTCACAATTTTGAACTTGTGCTGCGTAGAACCACTTACCAACTGGCACACGCAGCACATCAAGCTCAGCGTTTCGTTCGGTTGAAAATCACAAAAGTTAGATTTCCTCTCTTAAACAATTTGAATTGCTTCTGAAAGTTCGGACAACATAACGAGTCTATCATTGATCATGACTGATGAAATAATTAGGTATATAGTAGGTCCCATTGAGGCGGGGGGGGGGGGGGG